TATAGACATTGATCAGATCCCCTTACTTACTAATGTTACTTCATTATTGCAGGGTAACACTGAAGAACCTTGTCCCTCAATGAAGGTTTAAGCTACTTTGTAATTACACTGGGGTACTTAGGGCAAGACCCAGGACCCCACTAATTCCAGGAGTAGCAGATGATGCAAGTTCAGACTCACTTGTTCATAACTCAAGATTCACTTGCAACAGCTAAGAGTTAGCTATTCTAAAAATCTTTACAGAATCTTTAGAATCTAAAAATCTTTTTTTTTTTTTTTTCAAAATAGATTTATTTTGCTTGGCAGAGGTGTCATTATTTTGGCAGGACAGCGAAACTTTTGCATGTTAGTACACAAGGTTTTTTTTCTCCCTTTGCAGTAATCTAACAGAACTTCAAAGTAAGACAATTTGACAAATCATACATAAGCATGGCTTAGGCAGATGTGTTCAAAGTTGTAATTATTCAACAATGAACTTAAAAGTAATTATATACAATGTATTCCCATTAAAAGCAACTCCAACAGCTCCCACAACTAAGGCGTTAGTCAGCTGTTGCTCTCCAGTCTCCAACAGAAGCAGAACTGATTGCTTAACGAAAGTACAAAATAAAACAAATGTATTCCAGAGATCTTTATCCCTTTGTACAAAGTGTGCTCTTCAGTACTTAATCCCAATATATATGCAACACTTATATTATCTTGCAGAATAACAACTTTGATATTTCCATAAAACCTGAGCCCTTGCACAACTGTGAGAAACACAGGGGTGCACAGGAACGACGATGGAGCCATCACCAGGGCACAGGCTAAACAAACCTTAACAGCACAGGCTCACCCGGCAGTTCTGCCCTGTAGCAATATCATCAGATCACATCTACTCAAATCTATAGTACAATAAATTAACTTCACTCAGTTAAATTATATCGGGTCCATCTGACCACATGTAGCCATCTACTTCTGTGTGATAACATCAGACTCACCTTGCACATGGTTCCTGCATCCCAACCTTTACTCCCAAATCCAGCCCATGCAAAGCACTTGACTGAACCCCACAGGCCAACTGCAATTAAATGGGAAGGGAACAGCTACGGCTGGCGCCCAACATATGGCCGTAGGTTTCTGCTGCTGTTGGTTTGGGTTGAGGTTTCTTGGGAGGTTGCTTGGTTTTGTAGGGGGTTTTTTGTGTTCTGTTTGAGGATTTTGTT